TGTGTAGCTGAGACTAAGCAGTTAAATTTTCATTACATGGTTTGCAGATTAAAAACCCATCTTCATGTTTCAGTACAAGAACACAATTTCAGTTCTACAATACCCAGCATACCAGAAAGATTCCCTTAGTCATAATAGGCGAAAAACATGATTTCACTTAGATCCATTCTGAAATGTTTGAGTCCCTATATCTGCTTTTACCTCATCTCTGTCAATTTGCTCTTGATGAGCAGGATGTGAACACAGGAGCTGGAGCTTGTTAAATCCATTTAAGAAATTTGCAACCATTTACACCTGAGTAAATCCTGAGTAACTTCACTGGTATAAATGCAAACACAATTTGGCTAGAGGCATCAGGGCTTTCATTTTTTGTTAGTTTTGTTTTGTTTTAATTCGGCGACAGATTAAAAATAAAACTCTAATGACATCATGCCTATGGCACAGAGTCAATGGATTTATGCTGGACTGCTCCCGAGTAAATGAGATAAGGCTTTGACCTAAGAAAATCCACACAACACACATTTGCAAGCAGCCTGCTGAAATGCTTTCTCTTATGGAATGTCTCCATCTTTAAGGAACAACCCATCAACACCTTGGTGCCAAAACATGGTTTTGTTAACAAAGGGGTTTATTTCAGACATATTCCTGAAACCTCAAAAGTGTAGCATGCTCATATTGTGACTGACTCATGGTGCAGCAATTTTCAGCTTTCGTTTCTCTTTTTTGTTCCTTTTTTTTATTAAACGCATTTCAGTTATGCCCATCACCCCACTCACAAATTAGGGGTTTTAGAATGGAAATTCTTACCAGTCCTTCATGCTGGTGGTGATTGCAGGCACTGCCACGATAAATAATTTACTATTTAATGATTTCTGATGTAATCACAGCAGGATTCAGATTCACCATCCATCTTTCCATTGTTACCACTCTTCTCTAACCCCATCTTTATAGCTCCCAACTCAAAAACGAGTGTTTAAATTGGTAAAGAGAGAGTTTACCACCACAATCCTACCTCTACATTTGTTTATGTTGGATGACATTTTTGTCCTGGCTCGCATTACTCAGATGGATAAAACTCAGAAGGGTTCTGCTTTACTGCCCTGTTTTCTCTTAGTGTTCCTGCATTTTTTAAATGCTACCAAATGGTTGCTTTTGGCTCTCAGCATTATCACATGTTGTCTATAAGTATGGAAATAGTTATGGTAATATGGACGTAAATCATAACTGTAAATACCACATAAAAAAGACTGCCATATAATTATAAAAATACCTAATAGATTTCTTTTTCAAAGACAACACAGCTGTCCTTTCTAACCTTTCATTTGCAGATTCTTTTCTCTCCTGTTTTTATTTATAGGTTGCCGTGCAGTTTGACATAGCACACCATGATTTTTGTTTCTAATTTTGAAAAGAAAAGGAAAAGAAAGAATACTCATTTCATCATAAAGAAGCATTAGTTTACAATTTTGAAAATAAACTAACGCCAGCTCTAGAACATCATCTTGGAACCGATCTTCCTCTTAATACATTTCAAAAGGATCTGTCAATGGCTACATACCACAATATAAAATTAAACCCTGCCATGGAACTGAAGGAGGGGTCGGCCAAATGGCACACATCACGTGTTGGGAAGGAAGCCCCATTCTTTCTCCAAACATTCTAGTTGTGTTTTTTTTTTTTGTGAAAAGAGCCACACTAGGTTATTACATTGGTCACAACAAAGTAGGAATTTTATGCCCTACTTAAGGAAAAACAGGTTGAAAAGTATTCCAGGCAAACTCACACTATGCAATGTGCCGTGCCAGTGAGAGGAGTGAAGCCTTGCACAGCATTGATATTGCCAAAAAGGGGTTTGGATGTTTTTGCCTGAGACCTGCCACCATGCATTTTACTTGTTTCTAGTCAGCTTTGCAATGCTTAAAGGCAAAAAGGAGTAGATTTTTTTCCTGCTTTCTGCTGGAGTTGCATGGTGCTTTATCCTCCACAAACTGGTTGTTAACTCTTCCTTTTTACTTCAAACTTCCAGAAGGAGCCTGTTGGTCACAAAGGAGAGGCTGCAGGCAGTGCTCTCATGCCACATCGATGGAAGGCTATTATCTTTGAGTCTTTGAAACATTTTTGTCTCAAAGCTTCCAGCTATCACCAAACAATCCCTTCAGAGCCCTGTGCCTCTGCCTTTCTGTACAGCAAATGCCATGTTTTAACTGAAATAATGGCAAACCTCTCCAGGGAATGGAGTTCATCTTAACCATCAGAAATATGTGCTTCTCTCTCCCTCACTTTGCAAAAAGAGTAATTATGGATTTATGCAGAACAACACATAGCTCTCAATGGGGTTGTTACACTCTGATTCCCTTCTGGAGAGACAGCTAAAACAAATGAACTGCAAAATGCTGGTGGGAAGGTCAGTCTGGACCAGAGGTGTACTCATTGCTTATTGATACAGCTCATTTAGGCAGATAACATTCTCAAATCCACACTGCGTTTTTATCAGTCGGCACCAACTGGCCTTTATCCAAAAACGGGTCCTTTTATCAGATGTGTCACTCTTTTGGGAGGCTGCCGTCATTAGATTGGGTGACTGAATGTTAAAATAATTTCTCAAGGGGGAAGAGGTTGATCCCAAAGGTTTTATAGTTCCAAGGGGGAGATAATTTTTCACCACCAGCTGGAGCCTGATGTCAGATATGCCCTTGCTTCATTTATTCTCCTCAGAGGTTGAAACTCAGCTTGTCCTTCCTGATTCCACTATTGTTTCACATTTGGGCACATAGCAGCTACTACACAGTGAACTGTTAGAGCAGGAGAACCCATGAGACGTGGGAAAATAATTTAGGGGAAGCAGTTTGACAGCAGGATGCAGTAGTTTCTATTGTCCCATTAAAACAGAGATAGCTGGGAAGCTTAACTTTGTACTCATTATGTAAACATATGCATTTTAGCCTAATGTGCCAAAAAGATGCAAATAAAAGAAGAAACCCAAGCAAACCAAAACCCCCAAACTTAGGCCACCAAAACCTCAAGAAAACCAACACAACAAATATTTGCCCTTTTTCTGCACCATGTCTACTTTCTTAGCAGGGATATGAGACTGAAGTCTTGTGCACCTGGAAGAATGATAATTTGTACTGAAAGATCAAATGTCCTGAGTTCTCTCTGAGTCTGGCATTTATTTTCCAGTTTGCAGTTTGGTTTGAGAACAAAAAGGAAGCTGCAATGATTGATTCATCTTATGAAAACATCTTGACACATTTTTATTCTTTTCTATGTGTTTTCTCCACAACAATAAGTAGAAAGAGGGGGAAATCACCAGATCCCATGCAAAATATAAAGTTTAATTCTTCAAACAAAACACCAGCTTGGTCTTGTCCACTAATGGCTTGAGCTTGCACTGACTTTATTTAGATCACACCTAAATTAAAGGCAGAACACAAGCAGATNTATCTGCAACAGAGATCAGTCACTGCAGCATTTCCTGCATCTCCTGTAACATTTCTCATACCAAGATGTCTCTGCAGCACTCTAGGTCGGGCTTTGAAATAAAATTGATCAAATCCACAGCACATTGTGCTAAATCTGGACCAAGGCCAGACACACTAAAAACTTTCTCACCTCTCTTCTTCATAAATATGGAGTAGTCAGGAGACCATGAACTGCTGCTTCCAGAGGTATTTACAACCCAGCAGTATTTCTCACTCCAACTATTATCACAGATACTTTTATTGCTAAATTTTCAATCTGTATTGGGGGTTTCTCTTTATATACACATTCAAGAAACCCGAATGAACCTGTGGTATGAATTTACAGACTATACAGAGGCCAGAGAGCAGTTTATCTCTTTGGAAGTGAGTAAGGCAATCTGAATGAAAGCCATTTTCACTTTGAATGGCTGTGGCTGCACAAGGGACCAATCCACTTTAAAAGTTAGCTCAGATAATGTCTTTATCTGTGAGGCTGATTCTCTGACACTGTGCAAGAAAGCTAAAAATCAAAGAAAATCTGTCCTTTGTCAATGCAATGTCACATATTTCTAATGTCGTCCTAGCAATGATCCTTAAAAATTAGGCAAGAGATTGTATTAGTTTAATTTCAATTTCTGCTTTTTGGCAAGATGCACAGTTCTTAAGAATTATGAGAAGTTTCCTTCCTCTTTCCTTCTCGCCTCACTTCCCCAGGAAAAAGTGAAAAGAGAATTTGCATGACAAATTTGAGTGAGACAAGGAAACAAATAGGCAGTGGATATGCCAAATTCAGATGGCCTTTTCTCTCAGCATCATCACACCCCACAGCAGCCACTGTGCTGCTCCTGCCCACACAAAGTACCCTGCTGGAGGGACACCAACTTTTAGATGTAGGTAAGAGAGCTGACTAAAACACTGTTAGAGAAATAGAGTCTGAGTTTTGAGCAAACTTTTATTTTTGTTATCACTTGAGTGGAAAAAACTCTGGAGGATGTTTGGAAGAGGTCTAAGACAATAGAGCCTCACTGAGCTTTGGCCTTGGGGTGCACTGCTAAGTAACTCTAATTAATAACAAAGATGAACATATTCCTGGAGAGAAGACAGTGAGGGAGGGGGAGAAAATGTGCAAAGGTAACTGCACAGGGGGGAAAAAACACAGTAAACATTAAAGAATCTCAGGATTTGTAACTGAGATGTCAACTGTTGCTATTCACAAAGATTCCTGACACTAACATTTCTGTTTAATTCACTAATTCTTGTGTGACAAACACCAGCCAGTTCATAGTACAAGGCATGTGGTTTGACTTCAACATGAAAGCAGCTCCTTTTACAATCAAGAACCAGCATATCAGGTAAATGGTTAATGCTGAACAACATGCACATGATACTTCATCAACTCCCTCAGAAAAATTAGGATATTATTCATTATTATGGAACCCTGTAATTCTAAAGTAAATCATGCCAAGATACTATCTTGCAGGTCTCTAGATCAGATATCATTGCTCAGAAAAAAAAAAAAGCAAGCTTTCATGCACTTACCTTATCCTCCAGCCGGATCAGTCTGGCTCCTATACTGTAGTATCCTTTGTCTACCCCTTTTTCTAAAGAAAGAAGAATAAAAATGGGACATTCATTAGGTGGAGAATAAATTCAAACTATGAATTATATCTATGGTATTTGAAGCAAAAAAAACCAACAACAAAAAACCTCGTAATAGTAGGGTAACATAAAATACATGAACATAAAAAGAAAGAACGAAACAGAAGTGAAAGAGAGTGGCTGGAGAGAAAGGAATTAGTTTTTCAGACTGACAAGATTAAGTTAGTCTAAAGGGCAGCTTGGACCTTGGTAGAGGTCAGTGGACATGAAGGGCTATAGACGGAGTCTGGAGTCACATTGTCTTGTTGTTTAATTATCTCAGTGAACTGCATGTAGTTAGATGGAATGGGCAGGGTACCTGGGCACACCTCCAGTTTTGAGTATCACTGGCCTGAGCAAGGTAAACTTGCTATATATAAAGAAATAAGAATTGTTTTCAATGGGGTTGCAGGTCTAGGAGGCAGCACTATCCAGGGGTTCAAGGGCTGAAGTGGCAGAGATTCATCCATCCATCCATCCATCCATCCATCCATCCATCCATCCATCCATCCATCCATCCATCCATCTCCTCTCTGCAAAGAAGTGACACTGGGAAAAGCTCTTGCATCCTCATTTTCCCTCCTACTCTTTATGAGGCCTGGTTAGTAAAGCCCAGCCACACATTCCACTGGAAATGGTGGGATTGGGAGCCAAGGGTGAGAACTGTGGAAAATGGGGTCTATTCTTTCTGTTCACAGGATCTATTGATGAGGAATGCCATAGTTTGATGGTGCTATTGCACAAGGAATGAAGCACAAACCACACATATTCTAAGTTGGGAGATGACATTCACAAGTTAAAAACCACACCTTGATACTGAAATAATTTACAAGCTGATGGCAATGGAAGTTGGACGTTTTTCTCTACTAAAGTACATTTACAATACCTGGAGTAATTACTCATGGATTTTTTCATACATTGCTCCATTTTCATGAGTGATTAAGGTCTGTTTTTTAAGCTATCTAAGTCAGTTTTGCTTAGGGCGTGAGCAAGGCTGAGATATGAATTTACACAGTGTCAGAGTTCACAGTGAGTGCCTGTGTGTGCTCAGCACGTTCCTGGATTTCTCAGGGAGTTGTACTTGCTTTACCATTTGTATTTGCTAATGGGATATGTTTAGTGATCTGTTTGCAGCAAAGTTCACATCAAGGTAACTTGTACTGCATGCACCATGACCCCAGAGGAGGACTAGCAAAAGCAATGCTGGCAAGAGAACTTTGTGCTTTCCTTGTCCTCCACTCACCACCCAGAACCTTTAGAAGGTCCTGCATCCCTGGCAGCTCTTTGCAGTCTTAGAAAAGAGAAGTGTTTCCCCAGAGAACCTGCAGGAGCAAATAAAGTGAGGAAAGAAAATGTGGGACAGAACAAAAAACGGAGATCAGCTAAGCAGTCCTGTAACACTTATGGGAAAGGCACAAAGGATACATGGCATGACCATGATGAAAGGAAGATCAATTACTCATAACTGGATGAAAAAATATATATGGGAAAATTTTAACTCAGAAATAAAAAAAACCCCCAAAACTTCTTGTATCACATGGTTGGTGATACAAACCCATTATTTTATATACTGAGATTGGAATAAGAGAAAACACTAATAAATAAGCAATAGGTATTCTAATTCAGGAGACTGAATAGTTGCTAATATAGATTAATAGTAATAAGATATTTATTAATATGGACATTTTTTCCCTGGAAGTCTTTGCCTTTCTGAGTATATGTATTATTCTGCTTTCAAAACAACACAATCCTATATTAATTTACTAATATTTTCACAAAGCTGGCCCATCTCTTTTCCTAGTGAAGAACAAGATATATCTCTTCTAAAAACAAAACAAAAAACCCAACAAAAAACCCCAAACACTTTTAGGTTTGCTTCACACCAGTTCAAGAGATGATAACTCTTTTCTCAGAAAGAAGCATGTGATATAAATAACATATATTAATATGAGCAGGAGGAAGAAAGCAAATGGCACCATAAGGAATTTTGCCTTATGCCAAAAGGAGGAATGGCACCATAATCTTATTTTTTCACATAGGTAGTGTGTTTCATCTCATCAGAATATACCAAACTTTAAAGAAAATAAATTTTTTTCCTTTGGTTAGGGAAAAGTATTTATGAGGACCTTTAGGACAGTGAATGAGTAGCAGAGAGATGATCTGAAAATGGTAAAACCTGGTAAAACCTCTGCTTTATACAGCAAGAGTCCTTCCTTGATTTTTAAACAGCTAGAGGGGAGCTAATTCAAAGATATTCAAATTTATCTGAAAGCCATTGGTTTATTTTAAGCAGAAAATGAGGAATTTGACCAGATATTCCGGATTGCTGAAGACATCTCCGAACCTTTGTAAATGATATCTCAGAAAGCAGAACAGCCCAGGAGACACTGCTGCTTTCTTTTGGCTACCTCGCTGCAAATGCAGCCTTCTGGACCTGCGTTTGCTGCATGTAGGGATAATTGTGATGAGCTTATGGCAAGATCTGGATTCTTGGGTTTGTAAACTGTGTATGAAAAAGAAGGTCAGGATTGCTGTTTTGCACCCATAAACCAGCAAAGAAAAACGTTGCCTCAGTCATGGTGACTTCTGGCTGGGAGTCTCTTTTCTTGTTATTCAGAGCCTTTTACAGCTGGTTGGTAGAAGAGATTAAAGACAGGTAAGGCATAGTCCTGGATCAGGCACTTGTGATCTCCTTTGGACAGCCTAAAAATATTTTCATCTCCAGGAGGGGTGGGATAAATCAGTTCCTGCAGAAATATGGGTATCTCTCATTTCAAGTATCAATTGACCTAAAAAAGATAAAAAATTAAGCTGAGCATATTTATTACACTTTAAAAGATACAGTGACCCGATTTCTTCTTAACAGATGGGAAGGACAAAATATCAGAAAGCTTAGGTGGCACTTAATGGAGAAAAAAAGCAAACAGTGGAACTGTCAAAATTTTGCAAGGAAGCCCTTTTCTTCAGGCATTCCCACCTATGTCATGCAGAACCAAGAGGTTCAGATAAATTGCAGATAACCATCAGCTTTTTGTGGACTTTTCTGAACCCAAACACTGGATCTTTTGTTTTACCTTGACATTATTCTTTACCTTTGCCCCTGGAAAGCTATAGTAAGTCTCAAAAATTGCATTCAAAAGCACTTAACTCCATCGTGTGTAGTGAAGGTCAAGTATGACACTCTTTATTTGTATCACTGTATGTGTCTATTTCGTTGATTCCATAAGCTCAATTAATATGCTCTTTGCCTCTACATCAACACTTTCCATTATTAAGGCATATGTTCATTATGACAGGAATCTGTTTCATCTGACAAAATTGTGTTCCCTGGAACACTGGAACAGGCTTCCAACAAAATTCAGACAGAGTCTTCTGAATATACTCATAAAAATAGGGTCCAGGTCCTTGGAATATTGATTAATTATCTTAATGTTTTAAAATCCACTCCTGCTTGTAGGAGTTTCAAAGAAAGGGAGGAGATGCCAAGACCAAAACAAATAAAAAGGGAGAATTCTTCACAATATGCACATGTGAAAGTGGAATTAGGAGAATTCTTTGTACAAAATATGGCAGATGTTGTAAGTTTAAAGGGATAATTAGGCAAATTCGTTGAGGACAAACCATTTTGGACATTAAATACACTGCAATCTTGTCAGGAAGTCTCTGATGTGCAATGGGCTGAAAGCTGACAGGAAGGTTGGAGGCTTTTTTTGCACATTTCCCAAAGCACCTTGCTCTTGGCTCGGTCAGAGTCAGGACTGCTCTGACCCAGCATGGCTTTTATTCTCTTCTCATATCCTTATCTTGTTTTAACACAGCTTTTAGTGCTTTTTTATCTCAGAGAAACTAACTTGAAAAATAACAATAATTGCTTCCAATCAATTCAGATTCTGGGTCATTTATGACATCATTCACTTTTGAAAGGCAATAATACTATAGACAGGCTGCAATTACTTTTATATAATATTATCAAAGTCCACAACAGGGTTTCAATAAAAAAAATGATCCAAACCCCACTGAGGTCATTGGAAAGATTCCCGTTCATTTCAACAAGCTTGGAATCAGACCTTAAGTTTCTTTGAATGGGAGTATAATAAAAGGGGAAAAAAATAAAAGGAGCTGGAAAGGAAAATTCTTTTCATGTTTTTCTCCTTGGCAGTTTAATTTTCTTTGCATTGTCATTTCTTTTTTGCTTGTCATCAGTACAAAAATAACACAGTCTGAGAGAAACACCCATATTGTTAAAAATGAGGATTTTAGCAAGGCCTGGAAAAGTATTATATCAAAAATCCATGTTCAGTGTAGGATAAGCCATGCATTCTGAGAGAAACTCAGGGATAACCCTTTTTCTAGAGAAGGACAGTACAAATGTCTATTTCACCCCAAACAGACAACTACTGCACTCACTCTTGGAAAACCCTGGGAGTAAAGGCAGGTTGGATAACACCAGGAGTAATTGGGAACAAACTCTAGGTTTAGTTCTGCAGACCATTTCTCTGGAACCACTTATCTTATTTTGGATTTGTGGAGGGTTTAGATAAAATAACTACTAGATCAAATAACTTCTGGTTTTGGTCTAACTGAGCTCACCAGCTTCTGCATCCCTAACCACCATTCTACCTTTCCCAATCAGATCCTTGGTACTTTAGATTCTTTCCAACACTTGTTCAAAGCCACAGGCCCACCTAAAACCCTCCCAGTGGTTTCCACGACCCTTTTGACTCAAGATTTGGTGAGACCAAACTTCCTGAACATCTTCAGCTTCTCGAACCTCTCAGAACGTTATTTCACAATGACCTCCTAATTAGTTGCCTCCTCTGAAACCAGAAACTGCTTGATAGAAAGGGCTTCTAACACTGGTCTTTTCAAGAACAAATTGCAGTTCCAGTTTGGTAATGCTATACTTGAAATAAAATAATACATTCTTGGAGGTAAAGGAAGTTTTTCCATAAATTTAGCTTGCACATTGTGGAATGAATTCCCATGCATAAATATTTATAGAAGTATTCAAGCTGACAGATTCTTTTCCTGTGGTCCAAAACCAGCTACAGGGAAAAAGGATTGTACTACTGAGCCTTCTGCAGCAATCAGATGTTGAAAATGTGTTTTGAATGATGTTCCTTGTTCTGATAATATTAACCACTGACAATATGCCATTTTTAAAAGGCTCTGAAATTACTTTGCCACCCTCAGTTGTGCTCCAAGTCACTTGGGGATATGGGACATGAGTTCAGGATGGAAGAAACTTTTTAAAGTGGAATCAATATATATTGTAATCCCAGACCAAAAGATTTAGAAAGATTATTCTTGTAGAAGAATTTCCCTCAGGATATTTCCATCTCATCATATTCTTATTCACATTTTAACATTAATTCTTAATTTCCATTTAATCCACTACCACCTGAACAAAATGTATTTATCTTGACACAGGCATTCCAGGGCTTATTAACAGAATCACATTCATGTATAATTGGCTGGATCATTAATCCACATTATTGTATCCAAGGGTATTTTCCCAAAGTTATGAAGATAATAATTTTGCATAAAATGCAGTCACCATACCTGGGAGGAAAAGACCTGGCTTTCCCAAGGATTGGTCCAACCTGAGAAGCAAACAGAAAATTACCAGCAGAGCAATTACCAAGCAACTTAAACTCTGTTGCTAAGCACGGGAGCATAATTTACATGAGAATTTACAGTAGCTCTAAACCCAAACCAAAACAAGCAAAAACATGAGACTAGCATGACTTTCTGCACACAGTCAGCAGTTTAGCTCTTTAAGAGTTTTTCCTCCAAAATCAAACCATATTATTATTGTTATTTTCGTGAGTACTAATATTTCTCAGACTTTCAAGTTGTAACTAAAACATAGTTCTCTTGTGTCCTATGTAATCTAATAACAAAGACTATACAAACAGAATGACTTCTTAATAACATTTGCAACTATTCCTGGAGCCTCATGCAGGCAGATTTAATATCTATATATGTTGACACAGTAGATTCCATTCAATAGGATTTTTTTTTTTTTAAATTTCATTTAAGGGCCAGGGGAGTTCATTCTGGTGTCCCAGTCCACAGCATTAATTTGTAAAGAGAAAAGCACTTTGTGCTGAAACAGAAGAGAATAGTTTTGTGGCAAAATATTTCAGCTGCAAACCCCAAACTTGGAGAAAGCATGTGCATGGAGGAATGCGGGCAGGGAAGAGTTCCAGATAGTGCAGCACAAGCGAAACAGATTTCTCTCAGTTGTGGAGAACCACAGAGTGGAAACAGAAAGGTAAATCATTATTTGAAAAGTTTTCCTTTTCTAAGAAGAGTACAGAAAAGCTTGGATCCACTATAAACTTCACAGCATGCACCTTCATTTCTTTTAATTCCATTTGGAGAAAAAGGAGAGGAGAATAAAGGGTAATTGAAAACTTGGTCATAAAAAGGGTTAAAAATGGCTCCAAGTTAAATCCTCCAGATATTGTGCTCCCTGTTGTGCTTGCAATTTTGGACAATTACTGTTCATTAAGTACACATCTCTCCTAAAGCCAGCTGGCACTGGGGAAATCAGATATTTCATGAGGTAGACAGGGCCTACCTTCTTTGAAGTTCTTTTATGCGAACCATCATGTTGAGGTGTCCTTGGGAGTACTGCTCAATCACGTCACGGACGTCGTACGGCTTCCGAGCTTGCTGGGAAAGGAGGCAGGCAGCACGTTGAAAGGTGAGTATTGGCCAAACTGGATTTCTCTTTCAGACAGAATTTCATTCTATTTTTTTATCTGCCTATTTGCCTGCCATTTTGCAACAGTTGTTGTAACGAATAAAAAAATATGCAGCCGTTGTGGGAGTGAATATTTGTCGTGGAGACGGAGCCAAATGATTCCCATTACTGTCAGTTAGAGTCATGTCTTCATGTTACTCCATACTGAGCAAAATATTAGCCCTTCACAGTGGATTTGGGAAACATGAACCCAAGATGGATAATTTATCTGGGACTCCCATGTGCGGTATCTCCTGGCTCATTCCAAAGCCATGTGTTAATCATAATGTCAGGGGACTGAACCCCAGGGATTGGCCCAACACAGAACACTTGGACCCAGAATCAAATGTCTCTGAAGACCAAAGATGTCTGGTGACAGAAATATTGCTGCTTGAGGAACAGGGAGGACAGATGCTCTTCATAAGTCAGGAGATTGCCGCACGTGGGTTTTGTTTGTGCTCCTCTGTCTTTCATGAGACCTTCGAGATCAGAAAAAAAAAGGTGCACTTCAAATAAAAAAGGACAGATGAAAAAATGCAGGAGAATGAATAAACTGCCACCTGCCCAGCTATATTCCCATCCTAATGAGAATCCAGATGCTTCTGCCAAGCTTTGGTTTCTTGCTGCAACTACTGTGGCCAAATTTTGAAACAAGTTTAGAGAATTTGCAGAAAGCGATGCGGTTATAAAAAGTGCAGCACGGTGAAATTTTAGCAAGTAAAATCAATGTGTGTGTGGAGGTATAAATGCAAATCATGGCCCGTTGGAAAGACCAGCATTTTGAGAACCCTTATGGGAAATGTGGGGCAAGATGTCTCCCTCTTTGGCTCTGACTCAAGAAAAGAAGGGGGGGAGAAAAAAGCAAAGGTAAACTGCAAATCTAGTAATTGGAAATTACTGAAAACAGCTCATTAGTCATCTTGTTGTCTGTTTGCACTCTGTCACAGCCTCAGCCAGAGCCATTAGCATGCACCACTGCACACATGCATTGAACACCTACAGTATGTGCTGGAGTCATGCTTGGAAGGCAGCCACACAATCCTAGAAATTTCAAATGAAAGCATGGAACTGGAATGGAAACAAATCCTGTGAAATGAATGAAGAAGCAAGAGCTCTTCATGACAAAATGCCTTCCCTGCACTCAGCACTTACCTGCACCAATACTTTCAGAAGAGTTGTGGCTTTGGAGGTGTGTGTGAGTGCATTGGAGTGCATTTGGGAGCAGAGGCTTTGTGGGGGAGGGAGGTTTCAGCTTTCAGCTTATCGTTTGGTTTTTGGTTGTTTTTTTTTTCTCCCCCTTCCCCAGCTCCACATTTTGCAGACGCTGACACATCACTATTTCTGGCCAGAAAAGCAGCCTATTGTCTTCACCCCGAGTAGCAGTGCCAGTATCACTCTTTAGATGGACTAGTGGGGGTGCCTGGAGAGCATTTTGGCTAAATCCCGTGTCCTTTCCTTTGGACACTCTCTATTTAAACACCATGCACGGCACAGAGCCTGGATGTGCTGGGGAATCTTCCCCTCCCCTCTCCTTCATGGGCTACTATGTGCATTATTAATTCTACTCATTCCCAGTGAAATTTCTTTTCCCCCTCAAAAGAAGTCCTCTGTCTGTTATCCCCTTTTACCAAACCATCAGCTCCAAATTCTGTAGTTACAAAGTGCTGGACGCTGCAATCTGCCTGAGTCCTCTCTGAAGCTGAGTCAAAATATCCCTCCAGCTTTCACCATTTCCCCCTCCTCTTTTTCCATAAAGCTTTAGATCTGGGCATCTTAAGTCCTGCCAAACTTTGGCACAATCCCCTGTCATGTTTGCATTAGGAAATGCTAGAACAATACAAGTGAAGCCAGGAGATAATGGGCTTCCAGAGAAGTGTGGTAAATGCAACACTTGAACAACTCCTTTGACTTTCATTCTGTTCATAATTCCAAATCCTGGCCATTTGAGATCAGTATTCCACATTCAGCATGCACAACTAAATAATATTACCCAGTTTTGAACTTCCAAAATCTAATTAGCATGGGAGTCCTATAAACTGTATCTCATGGCCCCAAGAAAGGAAGAAACAAAAGATTATTCCCTCTCCTTCTTCTTCTTCCCTGTCACTGACTCACAGAATTCTTTCCATAGATTGATGAAATTCAGTTTTGGCATGACTGCTACTGGCTGACAGCTCCAGAACATTAGGTCTCTGGTGGTTTGAAATATCCTAATTTTTAATCTAACTCATTTATAAACTGATTTTATTTTACAGAATTGTTGTCTCTATTTTACCTGTTTAAAAATTTCCAATAGTGTTTATCTATCTGATATATCTACAGTATAATCCTGCTCTCCTGCTTTTTGCTGAGTTTAACAATCTGACTCTCCTAGTCTTCTTTCAAAAGGTAGTGTTATCTGAAGATACACGTCTGCATGGGATTAGGAAATACATAAGATGTTCTATCTGCCCTAATTTAGAGTCTTCTGAGTGCTGGGATCTTATCTCAGGCTTCTATCCCTTGCATTTAAGTGCTCAACTCTAATCAAACTTCCCTGAAATGTAGCTTTTTGACTTATTTTTTCTTAAATTTCTTCAAAAGGATTATGAAAGGCCATTAACTTGCAGTGGATCCTCTTGGACCAAAAAAGAATGAACCTTGAGATGGAAATAATGAGCGCTTTGAAAATCAGTCCAGAAGTTAATTTTTCATTTCCGTGGCATTTCCAGCCCATGGATTATGAGAATGATGATATCAGGATCACATTCCAAACAAGTTTTATCATAAGTCTCACTAAACAGGCAAAATTAAACAGTATTTTCAATGCAGCACATTTAATTTGAGCACTTTGTAAACTGATTGAAAAAATTAACAGAACGCTCAATAAAGATGGCAAATTTCATAAAGGCAAATGCTCCACAATTTTATAAAATATGGCCTATGAGATCCCTTTCTGGGAAATCCATTTGGAAACATGGGTCACACCTGTGAAAGCAATTTTGCACCCACAGTACTCATCAATGAAGCCTATTGATCTGTCAGCCATACACAGCACGAGGCTGAACATTCCCTAATTGATCAGATGATTAATAACATTCTTGTTATGATCAGTATTTTTGCAGACACCCTGACAGAGGTTTTTTCACCCTAACACCAATGATTTCTTCACTTCTGCTAGTGGATGGGTAAGTATTGGTTAGTATAGTTAAACAAACAGAACCCGGAAAAACAAGTGCAGTGAAAAAAAGAGAGAAGTAAAAAATAATGATGCTGACTCCACAAAGTCAGGGGTTTGTAGAATACTACATCCATGGATCACTGATAATTTTGCCCACACCATTAAAAAATCCACAAAAGGCGTGAGACCAAGAATCTCAAAAATACCTTTGACTTATTACAACCACATTCACCAAGACAAGTCAACTCTGAGAGCACCTTCAGTGTCACTCAAGCTCATGAGATGAACTTGTGATTAATCCTGCTGCTCACCTGAAATTTCCTTCTGGCCACAAAATACTGCATTCTCCTGATGACTTTCACTGCTGTTCTGTGTGCTTCAGTCAGTCTGCCAAGGAACACAAACACAGACAGACATCAGCTGGGGGGGCAGGAGGGAGGAAAAAATGTCTTAATGGAAGATGTTGACTCCAAGCAGCAAAATCTACAACTGTGTTTTATCTTTACAATGCAAAACTGCAGTGTAGCAAAGCTGTGAGTGCATGGACGCTTCATTCTGCTGCTTTGCCTTCCTGCAAATTGTGGTTCTAAGTATTCAAAACTGATAAGTGAGACAATGAAAGCAGGTGTACAAATACATGTGGAAGGGATTAGACAGGATTACTGTCAATGCACACAACTGGCATCAGTTTGAAGAATGTGAAATGTTTTTAGAACCATGAGTGCATTCCTTGTTTTGCATTTACTGAGTGTTTGCCCATGAGCCCTATTGCACAGAAATTAAGTCTTTTAAAAAGTACTTTGAAGGAAGGAAAAATCAAAGTATTTTAAAAACAACTAAATAAAAATGAATACAACGCATCCTCTCAGCACACATTTGTGTGTCTGTGCTGGTATTCAAATACAGAACGGGACATTTTATAAATCAGCTGTATCACTTCACCTAGAGGATCCTGCATTTGCAGAACATTAATTCTGCCACTTGGCAGGCAATTAATTACCACACCTTTTCTTTATGGTGAATCTTGGCAGGGTAGAGAGGAAACAGGAACATGGTAATTATGAGTATTTTCTTAAAGGACTGACTCCTTCCCCATGAACTCCTTTATTCATTCAAAATAAGTGAACTAAAACCAAAATTTTGTTTCTAAGGAAGCTGTATTGTTGGAAAATCTATGTTCTATATGGACATCATCCTTGACATGTGATGATAATCCCAGGAAAGCTTTCCAGCAAGAGTCTCCTGAAAACACAATCTGCTGCCTCTTCCCAGTGTGTGGGGAAAAGGAAGTACTGGCTTGACCACTTTACTTGGGTGCCACAGTTTAGAGACAAAGTCTTCAAAAAGTGGGAAGGTTACAGTGGGTTATTTCAAAGTGAAGGAAATAAAGGCTAAACAAGCAGGGACTGTGTTTTAAAAATTAGCATACTAATTACTTTTTATAATTATTCTTTGGGGAAAATACTGCTTATTATAGAATAGGCTGAGTTGGAAGGGACCCATCAGGATCATCGAGTCCATCTCCTGGCCCTGTACCCAAATAATCCCACCCTATGCCTGAGAGCTTCTGATCGGGTGAACTGCCACAGCCACAGGCTTTTAAAATAAGCTTTCAGTAACTTTTTCTTGCTCTTTCCACTTCAAGTCCCAGAAGAACAATAAATAAATGCACAAATAGGTGCCTGTCCTGCTTATATGCCCATATTTCATTTATCTGTGTATATCCAAGCAGATGTCCACATAAATACATGCACACAGGCAAACACACAGAAGACAAAGCAGGGTGAGCATGACTGAAGAACCACCTTTGTTATACACCACCAGCAGTACTGCTGAGGAGGAATTTTTACATTTGTGTAAGCCTATCAAGGGGATTTCAGAAGTGTCACTGACGAGCTAGCAGCAGTTTAGCCTGCAGGACCTTTATTATGGTGGGAAAAAAGCTCAGCTTGACACTGAAGTCCCCAGCTGAGCTCCTGTGGCTGCTGACTAGAACAGAGATGACGTTCTGCTTACAGATGGCACAGAACTGATAGAGAAATATTTGTCACCCCCTACAACTATTTTTTTTTAATCACCAGAAAATAATAATAGTTTAAGGTTTAAGGGTTAGCCTACCTCCCTTATGTAGCATAAAAACTCATGTTAAAATAAAAACTTGAAATTATCCCCTAGAAGTAAATGATGTGAAACTTCATATATATACTTGAGGGTTTTTTTATTTGACTAATCCATATAAGATGGTTCAGGCACTGTTTAAACAGGCTTAAATAGACAAGTTTAAAGAAGTCAGAGATGGAACCAAACCAAGGCTGTAGTTTTGTCCCAATTCCCATCCTTCAGCAGAAATCAGGGCTACAGAACTTTTTCCACTGTGTTATCAAGCTAAAATTTTCAAAAATATGAGATTGAACTCTTGGAACTTGATGCGCAGATGAACAGGCCTCATTTTTAGAGAGAAAAGTCATTTATTTGTGAAATATAGTTAAGAAGGTCACCCAACTATCATTCCAGAGCACTTGATATCATGTTCCAACTGGCAAAACTCACACCAATCTCATTGGGAGAAAATTCTGAAATAGAAGTGACTGCTTGGATTTGATGGTCACTACTGTTAAACTGAGAATCAGAAATGTGTGAAACCTGACTTTGATGGAAAAATAGCTTGAAAAGGTGCAAATCCATAGACTGATATATGGATAAGTCATCTTAATTGCCCCAGTAAATCCCCAGGGAGCACAGCAGCTTCAGATGAGATAAATCCCTGCTCTGTACAGCAAGCTATCCTCCTGGTGGGGGGGTAGGGGCAGTGTGGCTGTGATCATAAACATTTTTTGAGATTTTAGTTGGTTTTCATAGGTTTCTGACCACTAATGCCCATAATGGGTAATTACAGCTACTACTGACCAGGTTACATTTATCTCTGAATGTAGCCCAACATACTAAACCTTATATTTTATCCCAAACCCCTGGATTGGGCAAAACTCTTTCAGCCTTGAAGGTGTCGCTCTGTCATGTGCCAGAAACATCCACCAGGAGAGAGCAAATGGACAGAGATGCTCTGGGCCCTGCTTTGGTAGTGCTCTGTAGGAGCACAGCATCACTTGCAGCCAATCTCCCAGATATTTTAGGATAAGCAGCTGATGAGAGAACGGCCTAAGGGGGGTGTGACAGACACCCCATTTGCACACTCTTCCCATGTGGCATTTTCCATGGAAACAATACAGAAAGGGACAGATCTACACAGGCACTGTGGTTTCTAACTCCCTCGGGGGTGGGGATTTATCCCCTTCCATAGCCTGGCTCCCAGACAGCAGGACCTGAGCACTTGCTCTAAGCAGGACCAGGAGTGGGTGAGTGCTCACAGCTCTGTCCCTACAGAGCAGCCAAACTCTCCTGCCTCTGTGCACCAGAGGGCAGTGCCACACACACACACAAGGAGGTGCTTTCCAGCACATTAAAAATTAAATTGTTTTAAAAAATTTACCCAGAAACCCAAGCTTAAGCTCCCCTCATAGGGATGGAGACCACACTGAGGTGGGGTGTGTGGTTTGTATTGAGTGGGTTGTTTTGTCTGTATGTTATACTCAAAAAATATAATTAGAGCTTTATTGACACACAATTCCATGCTTTTCCATCTTTTAACTTAAACAACAGGAAATAACGTTTTGTCAAAACCCTCTCTTAAAACGCATTGTAAAGGAGAAAAAAATTACATTTGAACAGAAGTGATCTGACTTTGGGGAAGTTATGAGCACATAAATTAATAATTGAAGCTTGCAACATCTGTAACTATAATGAATACCATGAAATGTCTACTGAAATAACATATCCTTGGATCCATAAATGGTACTGACATCATCTCTAACTGTCTTCAATAGGACCCTAGGCAGTATGTGTTCCTTACCTCTCTGCTCAAGGATTTCTCAGCAGGATGCTCAATTTTAAAAGGGCTCAAAAGGGCTCAAAACTATCCTTAATTACAACGAGTTGTTCCTAGTTTGGCTCCTGGACTGTCGCTGTGGTAGGGCAGGAAGGAAAGGGAGTGGGTGGTGGTCCTGGATCGTGGATGCTCACACAGTCCCCACCCTGGTGGGATGCTCAGAATCACTTGGCAGCTACTCTGGAAGGGCTGGGGAAGCCTCTTGACTGGCTCAGGCTCCCCTCTGCAGGTTCTGGCTGTGCCTGTGTGGGTGCAGAGCCTGGTGGGACAGACAGCTGAGTGCCCAAGGGCCACTGCAGCCTGGGTTTGCTCCTCTACTCAGCACTGAAAGGCATCACTTTCAGCTAAAACACTTGGATGTATTTAAGAGCGCCTTTTTTTCCTTTAACTGCAGAAAGACTGTATCTTAAGCCAAAGAAGCCAAACATTTTCTTTTTTGTTGGAAATAATTGAACCAGAGGAGAAAATAGAGATGATGAAATCCAAGGCAACTGTAAAAACTATCCCGCAGGGATGTTTTTATAATCTTTCTTTGATATAGCATTCTGTTTGTTATAAGCTGGTGTTGACCAGTTCAGATGTACTCTTTTTCTTCTTCTATATGGAGTCTGATGACTTCCAGCCTAATGTGCTTTGGAGCAGTCAGGGAATATTTTAAGTGAAAAAAGATGCCTAAATGGACCCTAAGCCAGGCAGAGTTACAACTATTGCAGGCCATGCTGAGGTACAGCTCAAGTCTCTAGACAAGCCTGTTATCAGTGGGATGCATTTTCAGGCCAGCAGCATTTTTTAATCATTTGAGTTGACTTCAGTGTAGGGATCAGGGAAGGGATTTTGCCCAGGCTGGGCTGCAGGGTGGCTGCAGAGAGTGGAACATGCATTCCAGACTGGTTTTCCTGACATTTATTCAGGTGTCATGAATTAGAGGAGTTATTCAGTGTAACATCATGAGTTGTGGGAAATAAAGGCCACTTCAGCAAGGTCAATTATAGCTCTCTGTCCCAATTTGCTAAACTTGTTTGAGGATACACGCTCACATTACTTGGGTTGCTGCTGAGCTTCTTTCATTTGTCAGATTTTGATTTTTTAGCAGGAGCACACATACAGAGTCATACTAACTCTGTTTTAACACAGGTCCCTGGATGGTTGGTAACTCCTGCCCAGAGTAAGATACAGCATCATCTGGTCTGGGGCTGTCCACTTGGCATTAGTTTCTAAGGCAGCACCAACAGGGACTAGATCAGTGATGGCAACTGAAATGTACAGAAGTTACTTGAGAACTCAGCCCTCCATGTGCCTTTTTGTTTTCCCATCACATTTAATTAAGATTATTCGCTTTCCACCTCTGTTTCTGGGAAGAACATCGATTCCTAGCCCAGACTTATAATTTTTTTCTATGTGCACTTATCTCAAATGGGCTGATATTTTCTTTGGTAGAATTTAA